GACCGAAGCGCTCAACCGGCTGGCGGCGAGCGTGGACTTCTGCCCCGTCCTCCAGGTCTTCTTCCCCTTCAGCATCCAACTCTACCCCCGCGAATTTCCCGGCCACGACCCCCGCGATTGTCCCCGCGACGTGGGCAAGGCGGCGGCCCTGCGCCTGGGCTGCATCAACGCCGAGTACCCCGACTCTTTCGGGCACTACCGCGAAGCTCGCTTCTCCCAGACCAAGCACCACTGGTGGTGGAAGCTGCATTTCGTCTGGGAGCGGGTGCGGGCGCTGCGGGAGCACGCCGGGCCCGTCCTCTTCTTGGAGGAGGATCACTACCTGGCGCCCGACTTCTACCACGTCCTCAAAAAGCTCTGGGCCCTGCGCGAGCAGGAGTGCCCCGAGTGCCAGATCGTTTCCCTGGGCACCTACAGCCCCGTCCGCGGCGGTTTCGCCGGCCGCGCCGACAAGGTGGAGATGAAGACGTGGAAGTCCACCGAGCACAACATGGGCATGGCCTTCGGCAGAGACACCTACCAGAAGCTCATCGAGTGCACGGACGCCTTCTGCACCTACGATGACTACAACTGGGACTGGACTCTGCAGCACTTGACTGTCTCTTGTCTTCCAAAGTTCTGGAAAGTGCTGGTTCCCGAAATCCCCAGGATTTTTCACACGGGGGACTGCGGCATGCACCACAAGAAATCCTGCAGACCGTCCACCCAGAGTGCCAAAATCGACTCTCTCTTGAACAGCAACCAACAGTACCTGTTTCCCGAAACGATGAGTGTCAGTAAAAGGTACTCCATGGCACCCCTGTCCCCTCATGTGAAAAACGGAGGGTGGGGAGACATTAGGGACCACGAACTCTGTAAAAGTTACCGCAGACTTCAGTGAGGATCGTTCTCGCAGCCTTTTTCTTTCTGAGTTGTTCCATACTGTCTTTTACAGGCGCACACGTGTATAAAAAAGCATTTATGAGTTGGTTTCTGCTTTAATATGAATAAACATCCTTGTAAAAGGTGTCCCAAAATAGTAATCTTTCGTGTTCAGCAACCACCTTTTGGAAATGGGTTACTCGCTGATGCCGGGCCGCTCGGGGCTGAAAGGGACCGCTCCTGTGTTTGCTGGGAGGAGGAGGAGGAGAAAACTTGTGTTTAAGTGCATCTTTTCTGGTGCTTTTCGTGCTCTGGTGTGGGGTTTTCCCCCCATTTTCCCCCCACTGGGGCAGAGCGGTGGTGCCCGCGCCTCCCGCCCAGGGTCGCCTCATGCCCGCGTCCTGGTTTGGTTGCGATGCGTTGATGAATATATGAAGGAAAAAAAAAAAATCATTGTTTTTACTACAATGTAGATAAATATACGATTTTTTTAGTTCTGCCAAAAATAAAATCGAGTTGTTTTGTAATACCAGAGAAGTTCTTGATTCTCACAAAAAGATGATGTCATCTTGCGTTGCTAGAAAGTGAGGACCGGGCTGGGG